TTTTTTTATTATGCTCAAAATATATTCTTGCCTACGTATTTGTATGTTTATAACCTCATTTACTACTGCTTACTACCTGCAATTAAATATACTAACCACTGCTTTTCTAACTTTCGAATTTTCTTAATTTTCAGTTTACTGGACACGCCACGCCAGAGCAGAATTCTCATTTGCCGTGTTGAAAAATAGGCAAGATTTCTAATTAATAACTGTTTCATAGCTGTAGCACAATACTAATGATAATGATAATTACATAATATGTGTACAGCTGCACATAGAAGGTAGGAAGCGCAGTGCTTCTGTGATGTTAGGTATGGTCTCATTTATTTCGTGAAGTCAATCGTCTTTAGATGCTGGATGATGCATTTTTTTTTTGAATCTAAGCACATATTACCGAACAAATTTTAAATACTCGCTGAAGAAAAAAAATTATAAACCAACACTCTGTTTTAAATGTTTGAATTTTCATCAGAAAATTAATGATTTAAGCTTTTTGGTTGATTGAAGACATTTAAGGAGTTCTTAAATTTCATTAGTTTAAAAGTTTTTGATACAATAAGAAATGTCAGTAATAAAAATTGCTTAAATCAATGGGGCAAACAATCGAAATGCTACATAAAATTAAAAGTTATTTGTTATACAGGCTCCAAAGCGACAGTTTTGCAGCGCCAATTACATTACGTAAACTGCCTTTATATTGAACAGCTTGCTGACATTTGATTGACTTATGTTTGTTTAAACCAGCCAGCAACAGCCTGCACTGAAAAACTCTTCCTTAGGGTAGCTTTCACAGTGAAGAGTTTACTTCCACTCGGAAATTAACTATGTATGTACATATTTTCAGTATAAAAATTGTGAGTTAACTCTTCAGTGAGAAAATTCGATTAGGCATTGAATTGACAAAATCTTTGCACCATATAAAAAATAAATGTGGAAATGGATTCAATTTTTAGTATTTTATAACTAGTGGCACTAATATTTTTCAATTCCCAACTTTGTCAATAAAATATTTGTCATTTAACATCCAGTGGAATGCCGCTACGAGTCGAAATGTGATAGCGAAAAAATAATACCATAATAAAAGCATATGTATGTATGTATGTATGTATGTAATCGCAAGAAATGCACATTATGTATTACTGTTCCTATTTTGCTCCTCAGTGTCGCTTACTAGTCCAGTCGTTTCTTTAGTATTTGCATAACTAAAGCAGGACAGAAATAAGGCCTCACAATACTTGGATTTGTAATGACTGAGCTTACCATAATTCAATAATTAAAGGTTAGACAATTATTGGCAGCTGCGGTTTGACACTCCCTTACAAAAGATTGCATTTACGAAGGACAGAGAAAGGGGAAGAATGAAATACCTTGGTGCAAAAATGGTAGTGGAGTGGTAGTATTAGTAGTGAAATTCCTTTTGTAAATTATAATGTATTTGCAGGATATTTGGCATTTTAAACGAAATATTGAATGAAGTATTGAGATATTTACATTTGTAAGTTATTTAAAAATAATAACAATAGATTGGCGCTTACACAAACGTTAGTGTTTGGCCTAGCTTCTCCTCCGATATGGGGCGTGCGCCTTGATTTTGTCATATAAAGGGGAAGGGCAGTTTTACGCCGACACCAAACGGCAATTGTATTTTTATGACAAGCTGTTTTCATGACAGAATACACTCGGAGGCTTACTGTTACCAACAGAGGGGCGACGGCGAACATCGAAGTGTATACATATATATAATATAAAAGAGAATGAGAGGTACTGTAAGAAAATGTACCCAAAATTCAGGAGCAAATGAAAAAAATGCTCATTGAAAATAACTCACATTTATAAATTAAAAATATAACTTAAGCGGTTACAACGCTAACCAAAAAAAAAAAAGAGTTAGAAAAAATAGCAATGCGGAAGGAAGCATAAGACCGTAAAATCCTTGTTTGTTTCGTTTGTTTCTATAATTTTGACTTATATGTATATTTGGCAAGTCTTTTTGTAAACAACAAAAAATGCACATTTTCATTTATTTGCCAGGTTGGCCAATATGGGCTGATTTTTACTTAAATGTGATAAATATAAAGCTCATTAAAATGTTGTTTAATGTCTTGTTACCATAGTGCTTTGTATTTTTATAGTCCACCATACGTGAGTTGCTTCTATTGAAAAAGATCTAGTACAAAGTATTCTTTGTTTATTGTTTTTAATTTTTAAAATTCCTACTTTTGACATGTATGTGAATGGCGGAGTTGCCGCTAAAAAAAGGATCAAAATGCCGAAAAAAACTCCTTGGTATCTCTGCATCTGTTAAACTTTTGCAACTTGCTATAATTTCATATGCTTAACAGTATCACAACAGTATGTTTACAGTATCTCCCCATAATTTTTCATATGAAAAAATGTATCATATTCATCCTACTACCCAGTCCCTCTATTTTAGCGTATCAACAGTTCATATGGCTTCATACCATGTAAATGCACCATTAGACATTTTTCTGCCATACTGAAGTAAGGCAAATGTTATGCTATGAGCCTTACTGTTCAGGCTAGCTATATTGCCATACTGCACGCCTAATGGCACCGCTGGGAATTGATTTATCAAAATCTATTAATATGGTCTATGAGCACACATGCATACTAAGTTAAATTGGTAAACTATGGTCCTAGGTGTTTCAAACCTGATAGTTACAAGCCAAAAACCAATTGATTGTCACGCCATTTTTTTGGAAATGAAGGAAATAAAGAATGATGTACATACATATATCACCTTTATATCTTTTATAGCATTTCCAGTTTAAATGAAACCATTTTCAGATAAAGCGAAACCTTTTGCAAATTAAATGAAGCCTTTTTCAAATTAAATGAAGCCTTTTTCAAATTCAAAGAAACTTTATTCAAACTAAATGAAGCCTTTTTCAAATTAAATGAAATATTCTCAAAAAGAGGTTTCATATAATTTGAAAAAGGTTTCGCTTTGTTTGAAAATGGTTTTATTTGAAAAAGGTTTCATTTAAACTGAAAATGCTATAGTTGTTAATGACACAATTGTCGCTATCGATTTCAAATCCGATCGATATAAACCCATTTTAGTTATATTTTATGGGATATACTTTTAATGTGACCATATAAAAGAAACAGCTGATTAATACCAAACTCTTACATACATACATACATATATATGAACATAAGTACCCAGTCAATTTTGGTTGCTTCCAAAATATACTTATACGGATCTTTTTCCCCTCAGAAGTAGTTCCAAAAACATGAGGACTTTCTGTCGCTTTTATGCAGGCGTGAAACACAAGCAAGAACGGTTCTTTAATAAGACAATTTTGCATGAGTTGGTTGTTGTTGGTTTGGAGAGCTTTGTAGAGTTTTTATTCTCGTTCGGATTTATTTGCCGAAGTCAAGGCATTACAAAATGGTGAATGCTGCATTGAAGTTTTCACAACCTACAAATTTTTAGCCTTCCATAGTAGTGAAAAATCCACGTAGACTTTTTATAATTTTTCCTACTGAATTTAAATGTGCTTCGAATTTCTCGTGAAAAAAACCAGTACCTTAAAAGGCATTCTTAACGAACCTCGTTCTGCGTGGTGCGACTGGGTATGGACATCTGTATGTACATATGTATGCATTAGACAGTGAGGCTCATTTATTATATCTATGTATGTACATCTGTATGTATTCTTTGTGAGTTTACTAGTCTTACACCGAAAATATTCATTCAAAAGCTATACACGCATTTAAAAAAAAGCTCTTTTAATTTCTCTTAATAAAGAGCTTGACATTTTTCTTTCATAAACCCTGAAACTTTTGCTAAAATTCTAAAATTCGCGCATTCAATTCAATTGTTCTTTTGTTTGCTCTGCTACGCTGTGGGGTTTCTAAGGGCGCAAAAGTTTTTCTCTGCGCAAAAGCATTATTCACTCTCTCCGGGCCGCAACGAACACTAACAGCAACCACAACAACAACTTTTATATTACCAATGGCAATTTAGCGGAATAGTATGTAGTATTGCTATAATTTGTAGTGGTTGCTTGTATACCCGAAACAGTGATGCCAACGTGGTGAGAATTCCCAGATTTGGTGGAATTTGAATTTCTCGCTGTAATCTGGAAATCGCTTTAAATTTTGGGAAAATTCAATATACCAAACGAATTTTTTTAGAACACTAATGAAGAATGTTGAAGAAAGTAATATATATGCGTATAAGAAATGCTGTGTAAAAATCTTGCACGCCAATATTTAATTACTCTTAAATAATATGACTTTTAAAATTGCGGCGTTCGAGTAAACGTGCTAGATGACTGCTAATGGTACTACGGGGCGTATACGTTACATACGCAACTACTGGTATATGAGCATGAGCGGTTATTTTATTTTTTAGTGTATATTTTTTAAGTTTTCATTTAAACACAATTTTGCGATAGAGTCTTGTTCTTTATACAAAACTGAAGATAATGCATTTACGCGAACAGCCAACGTCTGGCAGTAGTCTAATAAAAGTAAGTACTTATCAATAAATAGAAAATTTTTCCAAAATTAGTAAAAAAAATCTGCATTCAGAAATGGTTTGACATAGATACTTGGAGGCAATTTTACTTATAAAACAACTATTTTAATGACTTGTACAACTACAAAAATTTCATCAAGAAATACATAAGTATATGATTCTGAAGTAAAGTCCCTGTATACCGGATAATACATATGCTTTACGAAATATAATCACAAGTACTAGTTTTATACATTATTAAAGAAGGATATTCCTTGTTATCTCATAATAATTAAGGATATTTGTTGTTGTTTTTTTTTAATGAGAATAAAGTGCCTCAAACAGTAAGAGTTATTTTGGGGCGAATGGTATTGGGGATTCCTTTCAGGAATTTGGGGGAATTAGCATTAATAGAGTTGGCATCCCTGACCCGAAACTCACTTTCCCAACAATTCATTATTTTACCCTCAACCCCAGTGCTTTAGTATCTCAATGAACTTTTCGTTGCCGCTGCTCATCACGCTCTTGTAATCATGGCTATATCGTAGTAAAACGAAGCGTGTTAGACAGTTCACTTGTAAAACGGATTCGGTGTTCTACGGTAGCTGCGTTATACACACACTTTTGTCATTCGTTCTACATAATTTATTTATTTAATTTTCAAAAAAAAAAAAAGACTCAAATATTTTTTTCTAAGTTTTCATTTTACTGACTGATCTCTTTCGACAGCGTAGAATAGATAAACAACAAGATTTCGGTTAATCGTAGATTTAATAAATGCCTTTTTTATACTTTTTCTACCAATCGACTAAAGGAGGCGAATAGAAAGTATTGCCGCAGCGCCTGTTTAAAAACTCAAGCAGTTACAACATCTGCTGAATTTCCGGTCAATCGAAAAGAATTTTCATATTCCGGTTTATTAATTAAACGAATAACAACAACAGCCAAAATGGTTCATACAACAATTTACGATGAAGCACCAAATCTAAAGGTATTTTCTAGAAAAATTTAAAGAATTATTGCATCAAAGTCTTAGTAGAAAAACAAAAAACTATTCGATTACACAACCATAGTCGTTCGTAACATGAGTGGTGGCGGCGGTAGCGGCAACGAGCAAAAGATTCGTTCCTTGTACATAAAAAAGCTTACAAACAAACATACGTATGTACATATGTACATATGTATGTAGGCTGTATGTATCTCTATAGTAAAGTGGCGAGAAATGCATTTCTGTTGACCTTGATTTAAGGTCATACATAGATAGTATAAGTTTACGCTGTAAGAATTTTAAACAATTATCACTAAAATGCGAAGTGCGATTATGAGCACAACAAAATGCGTTTGCGAAAATACATACATATACATGTGTATGTACATACATATGTAAGTATTATTTATTTCAGTGAGCTACAAAACCATGCCAAACAAATTTCTACAAACGCCGATGCAGCAGATGTTTCAAAAACAAATACAAATTATTTATAGATTACACTACTCTGTGCATCTTAAAGAAATATATTCCGTGAAAAAAATATTTGTGCTTATGCCGGTAGTACATTAGCATAAAGAAATATGTAAGCTTTAATATGTATGTACATACGTATGTATGTATGTACAGACTTGTAAACAGATGTGTAGGTAAAAGCTTTCATTATTGACTTGCGTCGTTTTCAACTACAAAAAATCTACCGCAATTCCCTGGGTGAAATTAGCTCAAGCTTAATGTATTGTAATAAAAATATTACTTTTACACTCGATTTTTTTTTTTTAATATTCAGTTTTCCTAACTAGAAAACTATTTTTTTATTAATTCGTTGGCAAGCCATTGATTTAGAGTTTTTCTAACTTAAGACGGTCGAGTACATTTGGTTATAAAAACCACTTCAAATGAAGGCAATCTGTAGTTATTAAATATGTGTACATACATATGTACATAATTTTGTATGGATTCTTATCGAACAAACAAAAATATATCCTTTATCGGTCATATTTTTTGTTCCCTATTCATCTTTGAGTTTGCGCAGATATGCCTGTTCCCTATATGTGTGGATTTGCTGGTGGAAAGGGAAATCGCTCATATACAACATTAGATCGGATAGGCCCACAAAAAAAAAAGAAATTGGTGTATGCTTTTAACCCGCTGAAACCGAATCTGAGGTCCGTTTGACTCGTACACTCTCAAAATGTCGAGTAAATTGCGGGGGAAAAAATTGCGAAAATTCGCAATTTACCCAAAATGTGGGGTGGTAAGAGTCAAGCGGACCTCAGGTTCGGACTCAGCGGATCGAAATATATGTCGGTAGGTGGGTCTGGTTAAAAGCACACACCATTTTTTTTTTTTTTGGTGTGCCGGTGTTATCCACGTACATAGATTGAAAGCTGTAAGCTTAAACTCGTCATAACAATTAAGCTCAGGCAGGGCACCCTGTGTAGTTTCTGATCATTATGCTCTAAAAATAATCTGTAAAGATGACAATTTTTGGTCAATATCTTAGGCTCGTCCAAGTCCATCAAAGTTCAATGTGCTCAAAAAATAACAATTAATAAATTAATTCCTACATTTTTTTAATAAAATTGCAATTATCTTCGAACGTATTAGTCCTACATAATTTGGTATATTATGGAAAGAATCGAAGTAAGCTACGAAACACTTTCTTTTAGCACTTGAACTTTAATGGACATGGGCGAGCCTAAGATATTGATCAAAAACTTTCATCTTGCACAAAAAAATTTTTTTGAGCTACATATATTTTTGCTATGAGCAATCAAAATTCTAAAAAAAAGCCGATTTTCGGCCAACGCTAGTGACCTATAGCATTACGCTGTCCCCAAACGGGAAAGGGATTTTAAGAGAAGCTTTTTCTAATTTTGATGTTGCCTCCACCAGGGGACGAACTCAGGTCCTACGGTGTTGGAGTACGCACCGCTAAAACTTCTATAAAAATTATTTGCCGTGCAATTTCGTTCTCCTTCTAGCCAAAAAATATCAGTATCAGACAATTAGTCTGTTCCAATAGCAGTCCGGTTTACAGGATTTAGTCAGAACTTACAGGAAGTCGTTCCTATTGACATAAAACCTGTAAGTGGGAACACATTTGAGAGAGTAACTGAGCAACTGTTCCTAGTCAGAAGTTACAGGATTTAGTCCGGAGTTTTTTTTCCTGTAAGTTCATGAAAAGTGTCAAACGATCAGCTGATTTACATGTGCAAACAAAAACAGAAAGCGGTGAAAGCAAAGAACCTTATATTTGTTAAAAAATGGAAGTAAACAACGAAATATTTGAATATGTATAGATTTTAATAATTATTTAGTGATATTTCAGCCAAATCAGTGTAGTACCAATGACATGTAAACAAACCGTCTGACGTTTTTACAGGAAATAGTGCTTTTTGCGTTCCTATGCACTTCTGCATCTGTTCTCCTTTTACTCTCATTTGAGAGCCTAAAATTGTAGTTTGACAGTTCCACAGGTTTTAGTCCGAAGTTCAAAGGAACAGACTAAATAATAGTTGCAAGTCCTGTGAAAATTTTAGTTATACTTATTTCGCAAAGCCTTTGCCTCCTGCAAATTGTAACCAAACGAGGACTTTGTTTTATAGGTGAATACTATAGGTGAAAACCACCTTCAGCGGCAGCGAATATATTCACACTGAAATATTCAGAGCCTAAGTGGTTTCTAAAATACGTCCGTCGATCTCGCTATCAAATATCGACTGTCTCATTCTTCCACTAACTATTTACAGAATGGTGTTCTGCGCGGTCATACGTTAAGGACTAGACCATTAACTCTGTACCTATTGGTATACACATAAAACACCTTACGTCTAGTGTACAATAACTTAATGTTTAGTGCAAGTGTACTATATACTAATAATAATTTTAACGTAAATAAAAGTACTATTTTTACCTACAACTTTTATTTGAGTATACTAAATTGTATTCCCATTTTCTCTTTCCATGAACACAGAAGAACGAAGTTCCCCAAAAGATGGCCGCTGAAGCTGAAACTCACTTAGATCATATATGCCGCTTGCAGTTCGACTCTGCCGTGCCACATGTTCGCCTATCCGGTATTGTTTGCACCATTGGACCTGTCTCGCGCAGCGTTGAAATGCTGGAGAAAATGATGGCAACCGGCATGAACATTGCACGCATGAACTTCTCCCACGGTTCGCATGAATACCATGGCGAAACTGTAGCCAACGTGCGCACTGCTGCTAAAAACTATTCTGCCAAGATTGGTTATGAATATCCAATTGCCGTCGCTTTGGACACAAAGGGACCTGAAATCCGTACTGGCCTGATTGAGGGCAGCGGCAGTGGTGAAGTTGAGTTGAAAAAGAATGAACTCATTAAGCTATCCACCAATCCGGATTACATCGAGAAGGGCAACAAAGATATCATCTACGTGGACTATGCAAATATTGTTAAGGTCGTAAAGCCCGGCAATCGTGTCTTCGTTGACGATGGTCTCATTTCCTTGATCGTTAAGGAAATTCAGGGTGATACCCTGGTATGCCAAATTGAAAACGGTGGCGCTTTGGGCTCACGCAAGGGTGTCAACTTGCCCGGAGTACCCGTCGACTTGCCCGCTGTGTCAGAGAAAGACAAATCTGATTTGAAATTCGGTGTTGAGCAGAAAGTAGATATGATTTTCGCTTCGTTCATTCGTAATGCGGCTGCGCTCGCTGAAATCCGTGCCGTTTTGGGTGAAGAGGGCAAGAACATCAAAATCATTTCAAAGATTGAAAACCAACAAGGTATGCACAACCTGGATGAGATCATCGAAGCTTCCGACGGTATTATGGTGGCCCGTGGTGATTTGGGTATCGAAATTCCACCAGAGAAAGTATTCTTGGCACAAAAAGCGATGATTGCCCGTTGCAACAAAGCTGGCAAACCAGTAATTTGCGCTACACAAATGTTGGAATCGATGGTGAAGAAACCACGCCCCACACGTGCCGAAATCTCAGATGTGGCTAATGCCATTCTCGATGGCGCTGACTGTGTGATGTTGTCGGGTGAGACGGCCAAGGGTGAATACCCACTGGAATGTGTGCTTACAATGGCAAAGACATGCAAGGAGGCTGAAGCCGCCTTGTGGCATAGAAATTTGTTCGCCGATCTGGTGCGAGCCGCACACACCTCCACCTTGGACTCCCCACATGCCGTGGCCATTGCTGCTGTTGAGGCTGCCTCCAAGTCATTGGCTGCCGCTATTGTGGTCATTACAACTTCAGGAAAGTCTGCTCATTTGATAAGCAAATATCGTCCACGTTGCCCAATCCTTGCGGTCACACGCTTCCCACAAACTGCTAGACAGGCGCATTTATACCGCGGCATCATACCACTCGTTTATACCGGTGAGTAAAAGCGCAGTAATTTCAATTTTAGATCATACAAATGAAAATTCATTTCTTATTCGCTTTTACCAAAATCTATCCCCTTTTTTGATCATCAGAACCGGCGCTCTCCGACTGGCTGAAGGACGTGGATGTCCGTGTACAATTCGGCGTGCAAGTGGGCAAGAAGAACGGTTTCCTTAAATCGGGTGATGCAGTCGTCATCGTCACTGGCTGGAAGCAGGGATCTGGATTTACAAACACCATGCGTATTGTGTGCGTAAACGATAATCATGAGTGTGCATGTGTCTGTAATAAGTTTGTGTGATTATGAAAAGAACGAGTTGCCGATTGATTGACTGATCACAAGCTGAAGTGGTGGTTGTATTGTGTGGTTTTGANATCATGAGTGTGCATGTGTCTGTAATAAGTTTGTGTGATTATGAAAAGAATGAGTTGCCGATTGATTGACTGATCACAAGCTGAAGTGGTGGTTGTATTCTGTGGTTTCGTAGAAGGCTTTTAAAGCAGTTTCGTATGTTGTGCAAATGCCAGGGATACAAATTTTCAGAAAAAAATCCAACTGAGTGGAAGCAATGAAACATTTAGAATGGTGTAATTAACCATGTCATTAACAAATGGAGCATATTCATAGTCGAAATAAAGTCGATTCTAAAGTTGGTTGCCAATCCATTGAAAATTATGTCAATAAGCTGAAACTGATTTTAATATCGACTTTATTGTGACTATATGAATACGCCCAATTCTTTTGTTGATTTTTACTATTTCGGTGAATTTTATTATGTTTGTGGCATTTTTGAATTCACATTCTAATACTCATATTTTTTTCTTCCACAGTTACATTGATTAAGAACCACCGTTGTATACATAGCTATCTCGGACTCATCTGAAAAATTAAATGCGCTCAACGGCAAGCGCACAACTTCATTATGTTGCAGTGAAACTCAAATACGCATATATGCATATGTTTATTTAATACAAATATATTTTAAACAATTCACTTAAATGCGAATGTAATTAATTGTTGGTATTAATCCCCTGCACTAGTGAAGAGGAATATTGAATGTTAATTATATGAATTACAAATATAATAAAAACAAACATAATTACTTTCCACCCGTTCTGTGTATTCATGAAAATGTCTGTTTATTTATATTAAAAATTTAGTTCTTAGCTGTTTACCCAAATAATTTCAAACAGAGCTGGGCAACTAGAATTACGATTACATTTTGATTACTTACGATTGAGATTACTGTAATTGTAAACGAGATAATTTTTAGCATTGCGATTACTTTGTAATGAAATGAAATTATCGTTGGAAATACATTAATTATAAACTGTTCCTTCTAAAACTCCAATTTAGAAATCTAGCTGTAACTGATTCCCAACTGAATGATGCTTGCCTATTTTTATAATGTATGTATGTAGTTAATATGGAAGGCACCGCGCTCTCTTTTCCAATATCTTCCACCTTTCGCCATAAGAAAGGTATTGATAACCAGGGAACGGATTTTTGGGACCTAGAAACCTATAGAAAAGGCAAAATAACATAGCCAAAAAGGCACGAAAAGGCACTAGAAATAGCAAAGAAGGCAAAAGGAAAGATGTTCAACGGATATCCAATTCCTATATAGAATTGTTCGCTTATTCCGAAAATCGAGTTATTATACCCGAGCGCACTTGTGCACAAGGGTATATTAATTTTGTTCACATAACGGTTGTTTGTAACAGCCAAAACGAATCGAGATAGATATAGACAAATGTATACATAAATGCTCAGAATGAATAGAGAAATCGATTAAGCCATGTCTGTCTGTCCGTCCGTCTGTCCGTCTGTCCGTCTGTCCGTGTACACGATAACTCGAGCAAAAATTGAGATATCTCAACGAAATTTGGTATGTAGGTTTCCCTTAATCCAAGGTAGGTTGGTATTGAAAATGGGCGAAATCGGACTTTAACCACGCCCACTTCCCATATAACGGTAATTTCCAGAAATACGAAAACTGCGATATTTTAGTAACTACTGAAGATAATTCACTCAAAATTAATATTTGCAATAATTTTGAGACGGAAAATAATAATATTATAAATTTTTGGAAAATGGGCGTAGCCACGCCCACTTATGGTTACATGTGTATATCTTGGTAACCGCTGCACCAATTTCTTCCAAACTTGGCACAGTTGTTGGCCTTGGTACAGCATAAAAAACCGCCGAAACTTTTTAAAATCGGACAATAACCACGCCCACATCCCATATAACGGTAATTTAGAGAAATACAAAATCTTCCATAAATCAGTAAATATTGAAGCTAATGTATTCAAAATTGAAGCTTGCAACAATTCTTTACCAAGAAATACGTTTATGGTAAAATTTTGGAAAATGGGCGTGGCACCGCCCACTTATGATCACATATAAGTATATCGGTAACCGTTCTACCAATTTGTACCAAACTCGGTATGGTTATTGTACTTGCCACATATAAGCAAAACGTTGAAAATTATTGAAATCGGACTAAAATAACGGCCGCTTCTCATATAACGGTAAATTTCAGAAATGCTTGAAACTTCAATATTTCGAAATTGAAGGACGCTAATTTACTCAAAATTGATACACCCCGGCTTACCATCTAGCGGAAGGTTTCGGAAAGGTGAAAAAACATATATTTAATACTTGCGCCGGGTATTTAATGTTCGGATCCGCCCGAACTTAGACTTTCTTACTTATTTTTTTATTGAAGTTGCTTTCCAGATGCTTCACGATTTGCAGGAACAGCAATCTAAGCAGAAAATGGAGGATCGCATTTTTTCTATCCTCATCAATATGGATATCAAATGAGAGAGCTTGACAAGTAGAACACACTGCATTTTAGAAAACAATCCTTATCGATAAAAATCAAATATGTACCAAATCTCATAAGAAGTAAATAGATTCTTAAAAGTTTCCTCACCATATTGGATCCACCATTTTGAATTAAGAAAATCTGACTTTATATTCGTAATCAGCAGGCCCAAAAACCTATGTATACTAAAATTTAAGTAAATCCATCAATATTTGTAAAATTTTGTCGGTCACAAATAGACTTCAGATTCGTGTTCATATATGAAACATCTGATCTGGTCAAATCAAACTTTCATCGATTTTTTGTAGTCCTGTGTAATTGATTAAAATTTTGAAAACTTTCGCCTTGATAACCAGCTTAAACTTTGTTTGTTTTGGACTTGGTACCTTTCCAGCTTTAGGTGACGATATGTATTTATGTATGTAAGGTAGGAATTTGTAAATAGGTGGCAACCCCACTAAAACAAAAAATAAAGCTTATTGCACGTACAGAGACCAAATCCTTCCACTTGGTACCTCAGTTAGTTTAGGTGCAGATCTTATAATTTTTAGAAAAGCTAGTAATCCTGCTCTAAAACTAATACGTTATTGAACATCTAGAGGGCAATCCCAATCATTTGACACATCATTTTTTGCAATCCAATGATGCAACCCTATATAAATTCTAGGTACTAAGGATAATATTCCAATCTAAAGAGATTATGTATGCTTACTTAAAATCCCATCCAAATCCATGCAAAAAATCTCGACTTTGCATCATACTATGTAAGGATAAGGATAAGAAGCGGCGCCCTTTCATTTGGTATCTCATTTTGTAATGCAACTTTATTATTTTTTTAATCTAATCCATGAATGGTCCAACTGCGTGTACCACATTTTTAAAATGCTTATTAGGAAAAATCATCCGCATCCAAAGACATTCAGTAAAGGAAATGCAGAGTGCAAAAGAAAAAAAAAAAACAATGCTCCAGCATACCTTGGCTCACTGGTATTTTAGCTAGTTTTGGGATTACAACGAGCGGGTATTGTTTCAGAACAGATAAAACGCTGACCATATATTTAAGAAACTATATACATATATAATCACCAAAATCAAAAGTTTTACAGATATGCCCATATAAAATTATCACTTACCAAGTTTTTAAAATTGCCGCTTCTAACTGGGACGTACTTGTAAATATTTGACATTGTAAGCGCACCTTTACATATATTCAAGTATAGATCTGATCATGTTTGCCCGAAACCATAAGAACTTTGTAAGTAGAAAATTACATGTATACATATTCATTTAATGCCACCAACAAATTCCAGGTGAACATAAACCGTTCGCTCTTACCTTACCCACTACATCTGAAAATTGTTTGGAACTTTTTTTTGGCATTCAACCAAATGACGAATGATATGCTTTTTTAGAAGTTATGTACAAGTGTACAGGACATACATAAATACGATGTACATATGTATATATCTATGCATGCGTATACATATGTATTAGCAGGTACTATTTTCTTTCCAGAAAATTTAAATTTACATACACATTTGTACCCAGCAAGAATCTTCTTCGCCTCTTGTTACGCGTGATTCGAAAATGTCTGAGTTTCTTCATAGATATGGTTCTTAATCAAGTTACCTATCTGGACTAAGAACGTAGGCACTTCACCTAGTTGTGTGTGTGAGAGTGACACAAATCACAGAAGTATCAGCAGAAAGTTTTTTTTTTATTATAGCTACCGAAATAAGTATATAAAGAAAAATCTAATATATAAAAATCTCGTGTCACGGTGTTAGTGGGCGAACTCCTCCGAAACGGGTTGACCGATCTTTATGAAATTTTTTGCGTATGCGTAGGTATGAGACTCGGATGTAAAGTATATTTAATACCGCTAGGAACAGGGGGCGTGGCACCTCCCATACAAACCAAATATTTCATATTGCATATCTCTGGAAGTATTCATGATAGAGTACTCGAACATGGTATGGAGATATACGAAAACAATCGCATACTCATGGAGAAAAATTTTGGTTTTTGGGAAAGGGGGCGTGGCGCATCCCATGCAACCGAATTTTTCATACTGCATATCTCTCGAAAGAAATGTTTTGAAAAACTAACGACCACTTTCCAAATAACGGTTAATTTCACAAATACGGCGCAAATAATGGCGCTCATTTACTCAATGTTAGCACCTACGTAAGATTATTACATATTTTTGGGAGTTCAATTGAGCTTCGTAGGAGACAAAAACCTTGCTTGTAGTTTACAGAAAGCTGAAAAAACTATATTTAATGCGTGCGCCGTTTATTAAAACTTCGGTTTCGTCCGAACGTATACTTTCTTAGTTGTTTTCATTCAGTTTCCAACAACAACATATACTGAAAAAAGTAATTATAAATACCTATAAGTAGTACTGTAATGACCAAGACGGTGTAATACCCACATTACAACATTCGCTATCGTAAAATATTCAAAATAATCTATTGAAAAATATTTTTGTATACCTGAAAATACCGAGTTTCATCAAACTCTTGCATTTATATACATAACTTGGTTTTTCCCAGTCAGAAACTATTGAAGCCCGCTCCAGGAAGGCCAATACCGCCCTGTATGCCTGTAAGATGGTTATGGGGAATAAAACCATATACAGATAATACAGTAGATGTACACAGCTGATATAAGATCAATCCTTTTCTACGGTGTCACCGTATGGTGGCCTGCGCTAAACAACACCTTGTCCGGAGCCAAGGTGGAACGAGTGCAGAGGACGGCTACCATGCTCGTCAAGGGAGCACTGCCCACTTACACCCACCAAATCTCTAGAAATAATGTTAAACCGTCCACCTGTAGATCTCTACGGCAAATTTCGGTACGATTGCAGTGCGGCCAGGTTACATACGATCCAGCCGTGGAGGGACCTCAGATACGGACACGCAAAAATAAATGAAACTCTAGAGAACAATCTATGAAAGACCGATTATACCACTCCTCTGCTCTGTTTAGACAACAAATTAATCAAAATAATCCCAGAGAGGAGCGCGGGTCTATGGCTATACATATATACAGATGGCTCCAGGCTTAACTAAGCGAACTCGCGCTAAACCTCAGTGTTTGCTTACCGGACAGTTGTAGCGTTGTTCAAGCAGAGCTAAACGCTATATTGGAGGCGGCTTGGTGGCTCATAGCCTTCACCCCTAATTATTCTGACAGCCAAGCTGCTATAAAATCTCAAATCTAACGGTACAACGTCCAAAGTAGCCATAGAATGTAGGAATTGAGAGTTTTCCAGCATTCTAAGACTGCTGGAATCAAAATGATCCTTGACTGTTGTATGGGTCCCTGAATACAGTGACATTGCGACGAGCTGGCAAGGAGGGGGACGGCAATATCTGAAGTCAATTCTGCTCAAAATGCGGGCATACCTCTAACCTCCCGCAAACATAGAAGGCTGAACTCCTTGAGTAGTTAAATACCAGGTGGGCTGTGGCAACCACCTGCCATTATACCAGGAAAATTTGGCCAAAGATTGATGTAACCCTCTCTCAGTTTAGTAGTCGGGGTAATAACTATACACTGCCTGATGGGCACACAGGGAAAAGTGTTAGTATACCCCACCAACAATTTTTGTCACAGGGTGCAGAGACAACCATGTTTCTTTCACTTCCACTTCCATCATTTTTCCCGCAGGGTATTTCAAAACTTGCTGCACATGGCGGTATGTATGTATGTATGTATTTTGCACACTAAGCCATTCATAGTTATGTAGCTCTGTAAAGGTTTAAGCTTGAGTGCGCTGCATCACACACAGCACTTCATAGCACAGAACTTGCCAACTTATTCTTCTTCTTTAACCACTATTCCTTACACACAAAATACTCGTACTCCACAACCTTTAAGCCAGCCACATGATAGCAAGATGGCCAAGAATGACGGTGCATATAAACGTTGCCGTGGACGACTGCGAATATCCAGTGACGGCACGCCACCATCAATTCAGTCTTTGCCGAGATTTTATCGTGTGCGAGTGGTTTTTTGTAGCGTTTGCGCAGTTGCAATTTCGACCGGTCCACATAGTATTTTGGCATAGTCTTGCAATTTTGGCCCGTCAGTTGTGCAGTGCCTACATACGTAGGAGCGTAACATAAAAACACACAGACACGTACTACTATGTATTATTAGAACATATTTTTTGTTGGCGTTCATCTGCATATGCAACACCCCATTAGCCGGTGTAGTCGATCCCGCGAGTACCATTTGACCGCTTGCTTATTTTTTTGTCTGTACTATTTTTGTGTTCTTTTAAAAAACAATCGACTGTGGCTTAGATAGATGACTCCAACTCATGGCAAAAATGTGAACAATGCGTAGTTGTACGAAGTGTTTCGCACTGTTAAAAGCAAAGTCGTTCAAATATTTAATCAAATAAAATTTTTTTCGCGGAAGTTAGTTTGAAAAACCACTTACAATAAGTACTTATGAAAGATTAAAATTCGTTACAGTCAAATATCATTGAGTTTCAAGTACATCTTAGACATACATAGTGTGCTGTGTTGTGTGTTGGTTCAGCAGTGTTTGTGTGTGTGAGTAAATGTGCACCACAAATAACTATTAAATTCATTCGCGGACACAATAGACAAATTTGCTGTCTGTTAACTTCTTCGTGTGTGCTAAGAAGACCAGTGCAGGACACCATACATGTACACATTGATGTTATTTGTAAAAGAGTTCGTTTACCTTAGCTTATGAAAATGTTGCAAGTTAACCTATTGATTGTGAGGTATTTATATCTAAAAAAAAAAAAGTTTTAAGATGGTTGTAAATTACCGTAACTTATCTACTTGACTATTGTACAGTGTATTGTTCAGAGGATAAGAATTTGCTATGTAGATAGTGAAATAAAAGGAAATATTTTAAACACGTGTATTACAGTAGTTCAGCTAACGGGTCGGATATTGGAAGTTGTTGTTGTGAAACGAATATGGTTTTTAATATGTTGCACTATGGGAAATTTGGCCAAAACCCTAGTTTCGGAAGTGCTGCCTTTAGTTTTTTGTTTTTTTTTTTTATTTGTATTTTTACAAAGAATAAATCATTGATTATGAGCCTGCATTTTTTTTTCTTTGGTTAAAGAAATTAAATCTATTATTTAATGTTTGATAAATTTGATAATAAGTGATATTAACGCCTGCTTAATGCGAAACTTTGGTTTTTTTTTCAACTTCATGTGGGCTAAAAAATTAGCTAAATTTTGCTTTTGGCATGCAATATGAAATTTCAATTTCCGAAAAAGGCTTTTTTGTAGGTAATCTTGATATTGTCATTAATGAACTAGTTACTCTTTGGGGAGAGAAACCAATAAACAAGAGGCAGTTTGCAAACTACCAAAGAAGGCCCAATAAGGTCATTGATTACCTTCAAATGGGCAAAACTATTACTGGCGAATATTATTCAGATTTTTTGGACACATTCGATATTCGATTTAAAGCAAAACCGACATCATCAGCGAAGAAATGACTGGGCGGTCAGAGACGATGGATCGAACCCAACTCCTACGGAGTGGATAAATAAAACGCTTTATTGCCGAAAAATATATATTTTATTGTAAAAGGCACTAATTCGCCACACTGTCCTCGTATGTAATAATCAGGGCTGGGAATATCATGTAAATGTACATACATAAATAATATTGTTTCAAAAGTCGAATATATGTAATTAACTTATACAAAAGTTACGTATATGAAATATAAAATTACGGGTGGCAAACAAATTAGTGTTTGAAGACGGTTGCCACATGTTTGAAAAGTTGCATTAAAATTATTTAATGAATTATTCAAAGACGGATATCAATCGAAATGGGTTTTAAAAAGCGTTTTTCTGAAATATATTTAAGGGGTTGCCACATGTTTAAAAAATCAAATTGAATTTGAATAACGGCGAATAGGTAATTGAAATACCTACATACATATAACAATATGAGTGTCAGACGAAAGGGGTTAAGAAAGTTTTGGTTTGAAAATGTTTTGACGAAGATTGCCATTTGTTAGAAAAGTCGAATATAACGAAAGAGATATTTAGTTTGAACACTAAGAATATTTTTGAGATGTTTGAATATGGTTGCCACCTGTTTATAAATTTAGATCCAAATTATTCGACGAGTCAAATTAATTATTGAAAGATGGGTATCAATCGAAATGGGTTTGAAAGACTTTCTTTTTGAACTACATTTAGAGGGGTGGTCAAATTTAATTATATTCATCAGAAATTTAAAATATGTATCGCTATATCAGACGAAGGAAAGTTAAAAGGTTTAAGCTTGAAAATGCTTTTGAGGAAATCGTTAGTTTGGGCATTTGGGATGTTTGAAGAGGGTTGCCACATGTTTTAAAAGTTACATTCAAAAATGGGCTTTAAAGGATTTGTTTATGAAATATCTTTAAGAGGGTTGCCACATGTTCAGAAAATCAAATTCAACTTGAATTAAGGCAAACGGTAATTATATTCATACATATGAATGTATAATAATATGGGTGTCAGACGAAAGGGGTTTAAAAAGGTTTTAGTTCGAAAAGATTTTTAAGAGGGTTGCCACCTGTTTGATAAGTCGAACTTAGTAACTTATACACAGGTTATATGAAATATTAAAATGTGGGTATCAAACGAAAAAGTTTTAAGAAATATTTAGTTTGAACATTCGGAATATACTTGAGTGTGTTGGTGTTGGTTGATTTTTCCCACAGGGTGGTAAGATGATTTTTTTTTTTAACGAATTTCCGACATCCCTTGTCAAGTTTGGTTTGCAGACGAACCGGTTTCGGTATTGTGCCATCTTCAGTGCCATTTTTTTTTTGAGAATTTTTTTTGTTGAAGGTGTTTTGCATTTTTTCCATATAAAGTATTTTCGGAAAAAAATTTTGTATGGAAGAGACAAAAATTGCCAAAAATCAACAGTGATTCCTAACTACTTAAAACTTGCACTTTATTATAATAAAATTGATTGGGCTACAAATCTGCATACCCAAAAAAACATCTAAAAAATTTGATTAACAAGTTGAAAATTGTCAAGAAAATTTGCTGAATTTTCGGGAGTTTTGCACAAAGTTTAGTAATTATATTTTTTTTTTTTGTGTGGTAGAATGAACTTATACGAAATTAGCGGAAAAATATTAGAATGGAAATTGTTTCATATATTGTGAAAAAATTGCTGTGCCAATACTTTGTCCCGGCAGTGTATGTATAATGTTTAGATTTAATTTTTTTTTCTAAATTATAAAAATATATGTTTTCTGTCACTACGCTTACAAAAAAAAATTCATCAACTTTCGTCAAATACTTTAAGATAAAATGAGTTTTGAAAATAACGATTGCTTAAAAATATATTTGCTTATAAAAACTTTAAAAATTTAAATTTTTCAAAAAGAAATCTCAGAATCCCTTTCACATCTATAAACCGCTCTACTCACAAATTTTCATGAGAAACTTACGACATGACTGAATGAAATCCGAGGTCCAGTTGAGAAATCTTCAACCATGTCGGGCTTTAGAACTTCTATTTCAATTTTTTTGTAGTGTCTTTAATTTTTGAATAATATGGGCTTATACAAAATGGCCCGTGGTCATAGAGAAGTAAGAAAAAGGTTGAAACGATTAAAATTTTGTTTTATTGTAATCACCATTTTAACTCTTTAATAGTCAATTTAAAATGCATTTTATGGCAAAAACAGAATTTTAACTTTAAAATGAGGAGAACGCGGTTTTAAAATGGTACAATATGGTTCTAAGTTTTGTTTTGTGGTTGAAGTAGTAAACGCAATAGCACCCAGGTTCGGTCCCCACTAAAATTCTATGAATTTTGAATCGTTTGTTTATATTTTTTGACATAATAGTACCTTAAAAGAGAGCGGATCTGAGTGGTCAATGACACCTTGTTTAATACATCTTGAGCTTATAATTAAATATATGTATCTGTCATACACATATGAAGTTTTTCGTAAATCAATCTTTGAAAGAAGTAAAAAAACAGCATCAAAAATCCCATTCTTACGGTTCCGTTGAAATGATTTTTAAATATTTTTATGCAGATACTTTAAGCTTAATTTTTTTGTGTCCTCTGAGGGGACTATTTACAAAAAGTTCTTTAAAAAACTACATATTTTAATTCATAAAAAAAAATCAATTTTGGAGGTATTTTCAAATCGGTCCAGCTCACTTAAATCTTAATATTTTTCCAAAATATTTTAGTGGACGTCTTAAAATTTAATAAATTTTTTAATCCCGACGGAAAAATAGCAACTTTTTTTGGTGATGCAGTCTAATGTACATGCATACGCGTAGTGTAGTTAATATTCATCATCAGCATTAATTTGTATATTAACTTATTTTCCGAGGTTGGAAGTGTGTAATTATTCATACACACATTGGGGGTGTCCCAGATATAGGTTATGCAAAATTCCATAGGTATACCCTCCGATCTCATGAGCTATTCATCCTTCCCCGGTAACAGCGCATCTCTGCACGCCCGATTACACAATTTTTCAGCCACTTTTAAGATCAATTATGAAAAGGAAAACAAACTCCATGCTCAAACGCTCCGACCAACCATAACACCATGATACCCCTGCTCTTAGAAGTCTAAAGCGGGGATCAAACGATTTGTACATTTGTACAGATTTGTACATTTTCACAGTTACAGGGTACTGTTGTTTGGAAAGTTTTTTATTGAGTTCAACTCAATGTTTCTAAACAATACCACTCTGTGACTGCCAAACTGTACAAATCTGTACGAATGCACAAATCCTGTGAGCCCTGCTTAAAGGCTAGCTACTCTCACATAAGTGAGCGCCCTACAGCCTTCAGTAGTAAACTCACCACCTAGCGAACAGACTGTGTATATATTGTTGCAAATGGACACAGGGTCAGCTTGATAACCTCCGGTAGGGCCAATGATTTCACCATCTAAAGCCACCCGCCGAGTGTAATGTACCGGCGCCGTCGAGCAAAGAAACAACGTCAACGAGCCCAATCCATTGCTGTAATGGCGTCGTAGACAAACGCAACGAGGATCCCGAGACACCTACGCAAGTAGGTCCAACCAACATAGTGGAGCTTGGCTAATAGTCATAACCTCGGAACCAGCGAATAACTCGGAGAGGCTGCTAGAGATTGTCAGGCATAACCACGCACTTTTGGATCGAACATTAGTGCAGTTTATCTTACTTTTCAACTTCGAAAGCTTACAACATAGGTAACTGTGGCTCGAAAAGACCACCCTCAAGGTCTTTAAAACCGACTAAGAAACTTTAGCCAACTTGGCAGCATTCATAAAAAAATTGTCAGAGATAGCCTAATGTATATCGAGTATAAATATGTGCATACATAAAAACCACAAACTGATTGTCAATTAATGTAGATAAATTTTTATCCTTTTGATTTTTCCATTTTACCTCTCTTTTTACATAAAAGAACTGATTAATATTCAATGAAGTACTCTATGGAAGCAATTTTTCTATCTACATACCGACGTCCATATAATAGCAATACTTAAACTTGAAAAAGCATATGTTAGTAGGTGTATCTTTATAGCTATTCATGCCTATATTTATATAAACATTTGTGTGCATATTTCTATACATGCATACATATGTATGTACACCCAAACTCGTATTTGTATGTATCTGAACTGTAGTAGTTCACAACAAAATCGCAACATAAATTGCAGACTGTGGTGGCTTGTCAAAAAATGAAAATTATGTTGATATTCTCTTTCGCATTATACTTGCA